TTCATTTCAATTTTAAAGTCGTCTTTATTATTAAAAAAGATTAATAGACTTTAGAATTCTTATTCTAACACAAGTATTATTAAAATCTATAAGTTTAATACACTTTTCTTATAAACATTTATAAACATTGTATTTATTCTAGTTTTTTTAAATTATTTTTACTCTAATTACTTATATTAAATAAAACAGATATTTTTCAAAATAATTGAACATATCTAGATATGCATGACTTAATCTACCTTTTAATTTTATGATATTAAATAACTTATTAATAAATTTTAAATTGGAAAACTAGCTCTTTAAGTATAACTCAAACATAATTCTATATTTTCGTTATTTTATAAATTGAAAATCACATACAATAAAATGTTAATGCAACTATGTATAACACAACATTTATATATATATAACTATAAACAAGAACTTCTACTTTATTACATAATGTAAAAAAAATTCTCTTATTATTTTCTCATATATTCTTTCACTTTTTTAATTTTATATTAACAACAATGTGTTAAATTTCATAAAATATATTTATTTATAAAGTTATTTTTTAAAAAATAAATGTAAAATCTTTTAGGTATTATTTATTTTTAAGCAAGTGACATTTTCATGCTTTGTTTAATTTTTTAATTATATTCTTATGGTGAGGGGTATTTGTTGCTTTTTCTTATAAAAATATACAAATATTTTTTATTATTTAAAATTTGTAAAACATTTTCATACATATTTCAATTTAACTAAGCATATTTATAATTTTATTAAAAATAATCATTATTTGTCATAATAATTTTAAAAATGTTATTCTTAATAATATAATAATATTTTTTTGAGCGTTGTAAACTATAGTTTGTTACTCTATTTTTTAAGTAATGCAATAATTTTGTAACATGATACTACTAAAGTTGCTTAACATGATAATATGAGTTTATTGTAGAAGGATCAATTACTTAAAAATTAAGTAGGTTCCAAAAAGGTGCAAAAGATAGTTAAAGCATTGAAATATTTAACATCTCATACTAAAGAAGGTGCAAAATGTCATCAACAATATTAACAACAACACTATATTTTTGTTAAGAACTGGTGACAACTCATGGTCTAATATATAATTAAGAATATTAATTAATAGGGTAAGTTGAGTATTTTAGTTTGGTTGTGAAATAAAAATTTTATTAGTTTTAATTTCATTTAGTTAATTTTGGATAAGTATATGTGATGATAAATATTTTCGTTGGTATCATAATTGACTAGTGAGGTTGGTGGTCTCAATGTCATTCGAAATAAGAGTCTTATCAAGAAAGTATAACATAATTTACATTGGTCTCAATCTCTTGTTTTATTCACTATTAAGTCCTCATGTACACATTGATATGTTGGAGTCATTTTAGTAACCATAACACCGTAGAAATATGAATAAGAATATAACCATGAATTACTATTACTAGCTTGTCAAAACCCCCGTTAAAACCACACAAAATGACAAAATTCATTGACCTAAAAAGCATAACAATACAAAATCACCTTATTTTCTGTCACTACAGGACCTTTATTTATTACCATGGAGTACTTATCAAGTCATCTTACAAATTAACAAACCATCGCTACCAAACCTCTAAGAGTCATTACCATTATACCCTAGAAGGTTGTTTGAGAAAGAGAATTTTAGAGAAGAGAAGAGCAGAATGGAAGATAAAATTATATTTTAAATAAATATATTAATATAAATTTATTGTATTAATAATATATGTATTATCATAAATGATATATAATTTTTTAATTTATAATTAAAAAATATGTCCTTCCTTCTCTTTCCCTTTCATACTTTAAACATACTTTATTAAGCTACCATTAAACCACTTATTCAAAATCAAGACATGCTCCAAATTGATAGTAATCTCCTAAAACTTGTATCTAATTAAGCATTATAAATTTGACAAAATTGAAAAGTTTAATAGATGGAAATAACTTTGAATTTATGCGTTTTAATTCTAACTCTTAAAAGTGTTTTTTCTCACCCCTTCAACCATCATGAACCTTCATCATATCTTTCTAAGTTGCCTACCCTAACCCCTTAAAATGATGACCAAAGATAATCATTACATTAGTAATAAATAATAAATTCATTAATTATACATATTTTTTATATTTATATTTAATAATAACCTTTTATACAAACAATCTTACATTTTTTTAAATTTTTTTTGTGGTATTAAATTTATGTTGAGATTTTTAACTTAAAAAAAATATTAACAATTTTTCAAAAAAGATAAAATAAATACAATTTCTAAAACAAATTAAATTATCATACCAAAAAAATATAAATATATATTTATATTAATATACAATAGTATATATATATATATATTTAATTAATATATAAATATATATAATATTAATATATAAATATGTATAATATAATATAATATACAATAGTGTCCTTTTATATCAATTAAATATACTTTTTAAAATAATTAAAAAGTAAATAAAAATTCAACTACATAACTAGAACAAACGCGGCTTTTTTATTTAAATATTATAAATTTAAAAATAATTTCTTAAATTATGGATTTTTTAAAACTATTTTCCTATTTAGGGTGATTTAGTTGACGTGACATACTATTTTGCCAAAATAGTTAGCAAAAATATTAATTTTTTAAAAAGAAAATAACAAATCTTGCTATCGAAATTGCGAAATAACCAAATCATGACACCTGTAATTATCTGGATAATTTTGCAATATTCATGGCAAAATTAAGAAGCAGTTTACCATGAAAAGTGAAAAATTCGTAAATCATGACACGTGTCACAATGAGTTTCACCATGGAAAATGTGAAACTCTTAGATGGTGACATGTGTCACAATTTTAGTGAATTTTGCCATAAAAATTACATAACTTACATAAAGTTGACAAATGTTACGATTTTGACTCACTATACAAATTTTAAATATAAATTATTTTAATTTATTATAAATTATAATCACACCATAATTAAATAAAATTCTAACAAAATTAATTAACATTATACCTGAAAATATTTTTTTTATTTACATACTATTTAAAATTATATCTTAATTTAAAAAATTAGGATTACTAACATAATTAAGCATAATAGTTTTTATCAGCAGATATTAATTATAATTATATGGAAATTAAAAAAATAAATTACTAACATAATAACAACAAATATTTTTTATATTTACATACAAATTATTAATGTAATCACAATACATAATTCACTTTAATTAATTTTAATAACTTAATCAAATAAAATTTAATTTAAATTTATATACAAATTATGACCACATTTAAAATAAAAATAAAATTACTAATATAATACTATAAAATATTTTTTTATTTACATACAAATTTAAATTACATCTTAATTAAAAAATAAAATTACTAATACAATTAAGTATAACAGTTTTTATCAATAGATACTAATTATAATTATAATAAAATTAAAAAAATAAAATACTAACATAATACTAAAAAATATTTCTTATATTTATATACAAATTACTAACATAATTATAATATATAATTTATTGTCATTAATTTTAATAACATAATCAAACAAAATCTAATTTAAATTTACATACAAATTATGATCACATTTAAAATAAAAATAAAATAACTAACATAATATTATAAAATATTTTTTATTTACACACAAATTTAAATTATATCTTAATTAAAAAATAAAATTACTAGCATAATTAAGCATAATCGTTTTTATTAGTAGATACTAATTATAATTACTGTGAAATTAAAAAAAATTACTAAAATAATATCATAAAATATTTCCTATATTTATATATAAATTACTAACATAATCAAAATAGAAAATTTATTTTTATTAATTTTAATAACATAATCAAACAAAATCTAATTTATTTTTACATATAAATCATGATCATATTTAAAATAAAAATTAAATTACTAATATAATAATAATTTGTATGTAATATTAAAAATATTTTTTTGTATGTTAGTAATTTTTTTTAAGTTCAATGTAATTATAATTGATATCTAATAATAAAAATTATTATGCTTAATTATGTTAGTGATTTTAATTTTTTTAATTAAGATGTAATTTAAAGTTGTTTGTAAATAAAAAAAATATTTTTAGATATAATATTAGTTAATTTTGTTAAAATTTTATTTAATTATAATGTGATTATAATTTTATAGTAAATTAAAAAAATTTATATTTAATTCACGTAATTAGTCAAAATCGTGACATTTGTCAACTTTTTGTAAGTTGTGTAATTTTTATGGTAAAATTCACTAAAATTGCAACATGTGTCACAATTTAAGAGTTTCTCACTTTATATAATGAAATTCATTAAAATCGTGATACATATCACCATCTACGAGTTTCTCACTTTTTATGACAAAACTATTTCTTAATTTTGTTATGAATATTGTAAAATTATCTAAATACTTATAAGTGTCATGATTTGGTTATTTCATATTTTAGATGACAAAATTTTTATTTTTTTTTAAATTAATATTTTTGCCAACTATTTTAGCAAAATAGTATGCTACGTTAACCAAATAACACAAAATATAATTTTAAAAAACTCATAATTTAAAGAATCATTTTTAATTTTACAATATTTAAATAAAAAAGCCAACAAACGCGGTCAATAAGAATAAAAGATTAATATCAATAAAATTTAAATGACCATATAAGGTCCATAAAAGAATATATAAAAATTATAATTTATTACTTATTAAATTTTAATTTATCTCTGTGGCGTAAATTGTTTTAGATATTTCTATCTAATTATGTTTGTACAATATAAAGTTACGGTTACAATTTGAGTTAATAATTCTAATAAAAATGTGACATACATTTATTATTAGTTAACATATCATTTTAGAACGAAAATACAGATAAAAGAACCTGAAGAAAAGGAAAAGAAAATGAAGGGAACGAAGAAAAGGGCCCAAGCCCATTAGTTCCAAATTATTACACACTCCGTTTCCTTAGTTTCTCTCTCATAAGACAGAAGCCGCCTCAGCCACTACTTCCTGCGCTTCTCTTTCTTTCTCAAACCTCAAAGCCTCCTTTTTTCAAAACCTTCTAAAACCCCTTTACCTATTTATTTGCTTTTTCTTTTTATTGTCTAATCTATATTCACCTTCGATTGCTTCAAGACCTATTTTGCTGGTAACTGAGATTCTCGTGCACTACTTTTCATCACTCCTTTGCAACAAATGGAACCTTTAAATGTCTAAATTTTTAAACTTGCGTTTATGTTTGATGATTTAGCCATGTGGGTTGTGTCTAAATTAAGCAGCTACTGAATGTTGTTGTTGATAATAATACTATTATTATTTTATATTTCATATTTATTCGGATTTCTTCGCGCGGGTTTTGTGGGAATCAGCAGTCAGGAGTGGAAGTAACATGATATGTTGAGACGTTCCAAATTTTCTACCCTTACTATAGTTTAACTTTTCTTTAGTTTTTGAGGCTTTAAGCTTAACATGGAATTTCTGTTGGCTCTTTCTTGAATTGTTTGATAGATGTTGGTTTTAGTTGCATGTTTTACTATGTATCTTTGTCTGTGTCATTGTTGAGTTTAAATGCTTATGGTGGCTTACGTGCTTTTGAGTTAGATCAGTAGTGATTTTGTGAGATGGGTTGTGATTGTTTGCATGTTTTGATATATATAACGTCCTCTTTTCTGTATGCCCTTTATTACTGTTTCTTTTGTAATATGTTGAGTTGGTTATTTGGATATTAGAAGGTGAAAATGGCTGGAAAATCGAACAAGGGGAGGAACAGAAAAGGGTCACATAATTTATCTGCTTCTTCGGACCCCTCAGTCCATTCTGATGTTCCTGCAAAGGATAATGTGGAAGGCACTTTAGCATCTGGGAAAACTGATGCAACTGAAGTTGTAGCTGCTAGTGATTCAATGAGTGCCAATCCGGAGGTGAAGGAGAATGAAACAGCCACTGAAGGGAGCCAACAAAAACAAGGTGAACTGTGTCAGAGAAGTACTTTTGATTTCTTTCATGTAAAATTCTGCTTAACAGTGTTATAGAGCTCGAACCAGCTCCGTCGGTTCGGTGGACTGGTAAATGGGCCATGTTATCAGTCCAATCAACACCTTAGATCAGACATGTCTATGAGTTGGTATGACTCGACCGGTACTGTTAAAAACTGGTGAAACGGTTGAGTCAGAAGAAAACCAGCGAACCACTTTAAATTTGCTTTATTCCCAACTTAGATCAGTACCCATGCTGCAATTAAGCTAGATCAGGTTAGGCTACACATGTTTCTTGATACTGTTTGCTTAGCCCATTGCTGAAGTCTAATGCAAAGCTTGTTAAAGTCATCATCACTCCTTGCTTGTTTATCTCCAGAGGAGCTCATCTGTTGGGCCTCTTGCTTTTGTTATTCATTGTAGTTGAAAGAAACTTGCAGAAGAAGCGAGACAAGAAAGACAAAACACAGAAGTGAGAAAGGGGTGAATGTAAAAGTTAGTGAAAATGAGTAAAGCATACTTTGAAGTTGAAACACTCTTCTCTTCATATATATTATGTTAAAAAGCTATTATTTCTGACAGTACTTGCCTCTTAATATATTTTTATATAATATATATTGAAGAGAGAAGCAAAACGTATGCTGCATTCCACCTATTCGCTTCACAAGCTTTTAATATGCACTAAAAGATAAACTTTAATAAATGTGCCTTCCTAAATAGAAAAGACATTTTTCAGGTATTTTGTAATTAATATATTCAGAAAAACTAAAATACTAATTTATTATTTTGACATGTTATATATTAATTAGTGACTTCACTGGTTGTACCAGTGATCCAGTAACTCAATACCTTGACTGAGTCAAAGACCGGTTCATGTTTAATATCATTGTATCATTGTTGCTTACACATTAGCATTGGCATTTTTGTAGTAAGGTAGCTGAAGGGGAAAGCCTCCCGTAATGTTGTACAGGGTTTTAACCACTTATTGCAAGACTTGCTAGTTGCTAAAAGCATGTACCTTTGTATGGAAATGCTGGAAAATCAGAGAGAGAAATCTGTAAAATATTGACTAATTTTTGCATTGTTTTTCCATATAAATTAACTACTCAAGCGTGGCTTAATGAAAATTATGACATTAAATTTACAAAACCTAAGGCCGAAGCTGCTTGCAGATACTGGTACAAGCTATATCAATTTTGAAAGCCCTTCTGTTCATAGATATATATCCAAATGAAGCCTAAGGTACAAGGACGCTAATGTTAATTTTTTTTAAAATAATATATGTAAGGAATTAGAATTTCATATGATTATATTTAAGTGCATCTCTGAGAATGATTATAAATTGTGGTCCTCAATAGCATTTGTGGCCAACAACATTGTGACTGCAGTTTTTGCAGCATCAATTCATTTGCCTGCAATTTTGGTCTTTGTAGAGTCACAATTACTATCAATTACAATCACACTTTGCAACTGTCATTTAAGTGTTTGTTGGAGTCCCAACTCTCAAAATTGAATTGTGATGTCATTGCCCAAAGTAGATTAGCTACCCCTTTGGGCTTGTTTGGGTGTTTATTGATTTGGAAACTTATTACTGATTCATGCTTTGGTGTAGAAGCTGCCGTGCATTGGACATAAACTGAATTGAAAACTTAATGACATGAATCCCCCTCATAATTTTGTGACAGTTACCAAACTTGTCATACTGTAATTAAATTTTCAACAATATTATTTCCACCTTTTTCTCTAAATTTGACTGCTGAAAATAATTTATGCTATCTGTTACGATTACAGAAAAGAAGAAGACACACTGAAATCCTTTATTAAAGAATGAAAGAATTTGTAAGTTTGTGTACAATGAGTACCCCGGAGTTTAACTCCTCAGAGGCTATCCCTCTGCCACAAGTTCTGGTTAACTTCCGCAAAAACTACCTACCTTACTCAGTCCCTTCAGTTATATACAATTTGGATAACTAACAGAAAGTAACAAAACATGTAACAGAAAATAACAGCTAATTCCTAATTGGGCTGCTTCATTTTTCTAGAATAAACTATCCAAGGTTTAGCTTTAGTTGTTGGAACATTATGTACAACAATATCGGTTTTAGGATTAGAAATCACTTGTCCTTGAGTCCTATCACTATCAGTATCTGAACAGCAGCCATATCACCAGTGGATAATATTCCCTACCATAAAACTTATTATTCTGAATTCAACAGTCAAACTGTACCAATTCTTGTGTAATTGAGTCTATGGAAATTTAAAATATCAGCAATTTTAAGCACATACTGATTTTTTTTTAATTGTAAGAGTAAATAAATAAATTAGTAACTGTATAATTATAGATGATATATTCATTTCTATCAATTTTAAATCATGGTTGGTGATAGAGGCATACCAGAACGGAAAGGCTAGGAACTGCTCTTGAATTTTTGTAGTGGACCACTATAATAGTGGGCTACATAGCAGGATGAAACAGTGACTGTAATGGCCCGTCCTATGGGGAACCAAACTTCCTGTTTTAATCTCACTAAAACCCAGTTTGAGAGTGCATTGCTTGCAGTGGCTGGCTGTGTACTAGTCTTCTTTTGTTTTCCAGTATCTCTATTCTTGTTCAAGGGACATTGTGCATTGTTTTTGTTTCAAACAACTACTTCTAAATGTCTTATTTTTTATTGACTTGCTCATAGTTGAGTTAATCTTGATCTAGTATTTCCTGCACGCTTTTGTTCTTTTGACTTGCTCATAGTTTAGTTATTCTTGATCTAGTATTTCTTGTACTCTTTTGTTCTTTTCCATCACTCTCTCTTCATATGGTTTAAAACTTAAAATTACCTGGGTTATCAACTATGTGGTTTTTTTCAAATTTTCTTCCTATGTTTTTGCTACACAAGACTGGCTTTGCCATACGTATGCAATCCTTTATATTACCAGTCATTAGGTGATTGTGCAAGTTTTCTCATGTTTAGTACTATGCATGATGTTGATAGTTTGTGGTCCAATTATGGTTATTTAGTCTTGTATAAAAAGTAGTGATTTAGTCAAATTTTATTTCATTAGTTATGGTAATGAATATGATAGAACTTCAGCTTCATTTCATAACTAATATTTCCCTACTTGATTGTGCAGGTGATCTTCAACTTTACCCTGTTTCAGTTAAAACACAAACGGGGGAGAAGCTCGAGCTTCAGGTGAGTTAACTTCATTTGTGAAACTTTTGGTTGTTACTGTTTCACAATGATAGGAACCAAGGAATCAAGTGGTTGGTTCATGATGATCTTGTCTGCGATCTAACTATTCCCAATCTTTTCTTCTAAGTTGTTTAATTGATTCACAGTTGAACCCTGGAGACTCTGTCATGGATATAAGACAGTTCCTTCTTGATGCTCCTGAGACATGTTTTATTACTTGCTATGACTTGCTGCTGCACACGAAGGATGGATCCACTCATCACCTGGAAGACTATAATGAAATCTCTGAAGTAGCTGATATTACTACTGGTGGCTGTTCCTTGGAAATGGTGCCTTGTATGTTAATGAACTTTTGCTCTAGCAGTAATTCGATGATTAGACAATTGTGGATTATAACATGATAAATCCTCTTTGCAGCTTTTTATGATGATCGATCTATAAGGGCTCATGTTCACCGTACAAGGGAGTTGCTTTCCCTTTCAAACCTCCATGCTTCACTATCAACATCACTTGCCCTACAGAATGAAATTGCACAAAATAAAGCTGCAAATTCAGGAGGTATATGATAGTTCTCTTTCCCTTTGTTGGATTTTGCAATAATTTATTTTGTTCTTTGTTTCTAAAATATCTAGTTAATACTCTGCTTCTGCATTTCCTGAAATATCAGATACCTTGAAACCTGAGGTTCCTGAGCTTGATGGGCTTGGTTATATGGAGGACATCTCTGGTTCATTAGGTAATTTGTTATCGTCCCCATTGAAGGATATTAAATGTGTAGAGAGCATAGTTTTTTCATCCTTCAATCCTCCTCCAAGCTATAGAAGGTAACTTGAGAAGCATCCTCTTCAGTTAATGTAATTTCATTGCTTTATTTAATTTATATACATTTAACAGGGCTATTCTGTTGTCTGCAGGCTTCTTGGGGATTTGATTTATTTGGATGTGGTAACTCTTGAGGGCAATAAATTTTGTATTACGGGAAGCACAAAATTGTTTTACGTCAACTCAAGCTCGGCAAACTGTCTTGATCCAAGGCCAAGTAAAGCTACTTTTGAAGCAACAACACTTGTTGCTCTCTTACAGAAAATTAGCCCCAAGTTCAAGAAAGGTAGTAAAGTGTAATTAAAGCACTCACTGTATAGAACTTAAATTTCTCAAAATTTTTCTCTGACATCCTAAATTTATTATCTTTCATCCAATTTTGAAGCATTTCGTGAAATATTGGAGGGTAGAGCTGCAGCTCATCCTTTTGAAAATGTGCAGTCTTTGTTGCCGCCTAATTCATGGCTTGGGTTATACCCAGTTCCTGGTGAGCTTAACCTCTATCATTTTGTTTCATCAGGATTTCTTTCCAATTCTTTATATTGTAGTGATTCTTGCTTCTCAATTTGGATGATAGTGCTGCTCTTCATTTAGTGATAGTTGATATATTTTTCATTTCTTATTTAACATCTACATTGTGGTCTAGTTGACTAGGTAGTTTTCATGGATTCTTGTTATAATTTACTTCATAAGAAGCAAGTGACTTTTCAGCTATATTTGCTTTATGAATAAATTTCAACTTTCAAGAACTATTTTGCAAAAACAATTAGTGAAGACAGAATATTAGATGGATCAATTGTTGAAGCTTTCGTAGCTTTTGTAAAGGGTCCTACACTGTAACGCACTACAGATCTGAAAATTTAGTGTTGATGATGATTCAGGTTGGTTTGAGTTAATGTGATATCATTAATGCTAACAAGAGCTTAAGATGAGTGTTGGAGAGATGAAACTGTTATGATTCATGAATGAGTGGACATGCAAGAATAGACAAGACGAGGAATGAATTTATTAGTTCAAATTGAGCTGGAATTATGTTTATTTCAGTGTAATTCTAAAGGATTACAACTAAATACATACACTAAACAGAAACAATAATCCCTAAAAGTTTGGTATTGAAATAGGAAGCGCTTATTTGGTTTTTAGATACGAGGATAGGATAGGATAATTTATCTTATCTTATTTTATTTCTAGTGTTTGTTGAACTAGCAGGATATGATGGGTTATCATTGCATCGAGTTATGCTATTATATTTATATCCTGATTGTACAAATTCTTATTCTAACAGAGGTGGTGTGTGAGGAATCATCAAGATACAATAAGTTTTTTCTTTTCTTTTTTACTCATACCTCAAACCTTCTTTAATATTTTATGAAAAATTTTATATTTCATAAAAATATTTTTGAAAATACATTGTTTATAAAACATATTTTTCTCATTTAATAGATTATAATTTTAAATATTTTAGAATTTGTTTTTGTTTTACTTATAATTTGTTACAATTTTTTTAAGAACACTATTGTTATTTAATCTCAAATTTTCAATATTATTTGTACACAAAAATAATTTGTAGCTTTTACTGATTTTATATATTTTTTTCTGTAAATGCATTTCTATTGAAAAGTCATAAAATTAAAGTAAATGTATAAAATTATTATTATTTTTTTTTATAAAAGGATATTTTTTCATTTCAATATAATTTATTTTTGTTTTATTAGTTTTTGTTTATTTCAAATGTTGAATGGATCGACATAATATTATTTGCTTGATTATTCTAATGTGCATAAAATATTGGATAGGAGAAAGAGTCTATCCTACTCTTATCAATTATCATATTTTATCCTTAAATCTTACTTTCCTATCCTATCCTTTTCTATTCTATCATGTTGACCAAAATGAGTTTTAAAAGATAATAACTTGAATCAAATAAAATAACAACCTAGTTACAATTCTAGCAGTTACTAACTAACTAATAATGTGACAACTAATATAACCAATACTCGCCTTCAAGTTGGAATTATATATTGCATTCAGTTTGCTACAGATGTATGCTATCTGTATCTGTGGCTTGTGTAAAGATTCAGTCAACATGTTTGTTAGCTGATTCGTGGAACCCGCAACGGAAGTCTTGATTATTCTTGAAAGAATCTTTTCTCTGATAAAATGGCAATCAACTTCCATATGCTTAGTTTTTCATGGAAGATTGGATTGGAAGAGAGATACAAGGCTGACTGGTTATCACATGCAAGTTCCATTGGACCAAACTCACTAAATTTTAACTCTTGCAGCATGTGCTTTTTGTAGAATTCTATTGTATCGAGAGAGAGAAATAGAAAGTTGAGTAAGAAACTGAAAACTGAAAATTGTATTATTTGTCAAAGAATGATAAAGTACAGAATGGTATTTATAGAAGAATACAGTGGCTAACCAATAGTACAGTGTCAAATGAGCAAGATTAGCGTTAGAAAATGTCAAACGTGTGCGAATAGGAGCAGTGCATGAGATGCGCACATGCTAATAATGGAGGTAGTGTGTGCAGTGGCGCTTGGTCAGTGGTGGTCACCAGCAGGAGGCACTCCTGGTCACAGCCTCATATTGTCAGCAAAGTCGACAGTGGCAAAGTTCGGGTTGGACACTATTGCAGTTAACTGTAGCAATTGAAGAAAAACTTAGAGCAGAACCAAAATTGATACCATATGGAAATCTAATATTTGAAACTTTTCTGTGAATTGCATTTGACCTAAAGGTCTGAATTTATACTTGTATATAAGAATCTATATTAATTACAGAGCACTACTTCCTTTTTATCTTCTACTTATTGGAGTTGTCTAGCTCTTTCTTGTTGTGGACCTTTCCCAGGTCAACTCCTCTGCCAACCTTGTTCTCTTCTATTCAAGTTTTCACCTTCGTAGTCATACTTAGTTGTCTTCAATATTCTCATCATTCTCTTTTGGCAATGAGAACTTTATCTTCCTCATTTATTGAAACTTTAGACATTTGTTTCTAACTTTGTCAAAGTTGGTTATTAGCCCAATTCGAATAGCTGTAATTATCACATGATATTTGGGATTTTATCAATGAATAATAACTCTTTTTGGCTAAGATGTTTTCTAACTTCGTCAAAATTGGTAATAGCTGTAATTATCACCTGATATTTGGGATTTTATCAATGAATAATAAGTTTTTCTTGCATCATTGGTTGTGCTTTCCTTGTCCAATTTTGTGATTTCATTGCTAATGAATTTACTTTGATGAAATTTTGGCTCACCATTATGTCTGCTTGTTTAGCAAACATTAGTTCGTTTTCCATTAGTTGTTGTTTTGCTTAAATTTTCCTTGCAAATAATGTTGCAAAGATATTTCAAGTCTCCTTTGGTGTATTCAAGTTAATTTTTTCCAAGAACTCATCCTCCATCATGACATACAGCACAGCCATAGCCTTTCTTATTTTAATTTTTCACTTCTTTTTCTCCTCATTAATTGGTGAGGTTTGCACCACTAATAACACCCCACAATTCTTGCTCAAGTAGATAGTACTTTATAGGAGTACTCCAAGAATCATAATTGTCATTATTGAGCTTTTCTATTGAGTTGGATGAGGATGATGCAAGATATGTCATGGTAATTGGTTAGTGCCCAGAACTTTATCAATATAACTTGGTCCAGAGTGAACAATTATCACAGTCCCAAACTTTGTAATTAGCAATCTCCTTGTATATTTCATTAGTCCAGAGTGAACTATCTCTGTTAAGTTGTAAGAAACAACTTTGCCACCTAAGTTATTTCTCAACAGTGCTATCATTTATCAGTAGTGTTCTAGCAATGTCTACAAGATGATGATGCTTTTATTCAGCCACGTCATTTTGTGGTGTATGTGGGCAACTTGACTGATGTATCATGCCATTTCATGCCATAAATATATTAAATGGTGTAGAACTATAGTCTTGATCATTAGCACTATGAACACCTGAATTGTTTCACCAAATCGATTCATTATTTTTGGGCAAAAGGCTTTAAAGATACACTTCTGAATGATCCTTTTTTAGATATAATCAAGTACATCTTGAGAAATAGTCTCTGAAGACTTGGTTTTTGATATCAAATTACTGTATGATTTGGAAATCAACTTCACAATGGCATGAAATTATTGGAGAGCCTTGTAATCAGGTTCCTTGAATGTGAATCTCAGGCTTGCTTGGTGTATTTTGTAATGTGGTTTCATGTGTTGTCAGACCACAGGCGTGATGCAGCTAGGGCTGAGAATGCCTTAACTCTTCTTTATGGCAATGAGCCAATTGGCATGCAAAGAGACTGGAATGAGGAGCTGCAGTCTTGTAGAGAATTTCCTCATACAACTCCACAGGAGAGGTACCTTTATTTTCTCATTCAGAAATAGATGGCTTTGGATGTTCTCCTGTTCTTTTGTTTGTTTGTTGGTAGTGATTCAGTGTCATTGATTATCTATATTTCTGGGGTGATTTGTTCATTGCTGCAGGATTTTGCGGGATAGGGCACTTTATAAAGTGACATCAGACTTTGTTGATGCAGCCATTAATGGTGCTATTGGAGTGATCAGTGGCTGTATTCCTCCAATAAACCCTACTGATCCTGAATGCTTTCACATGTTAGTGGGACTTTAACTGATGATATTTTGTTATTTTAAAATGTTGAAAAGTGTTATTTAGTGGGAGTTGCATGTTACATTTTTCCTCTTCGGGGTGTGGAGGTAGGAAATGAAGATACTCATTACTTGGCCCGTATATTTTCCTCGTGAAGAGCATGTTCATGTCTTAATGATATGGCTGTCCCATGTATAGTGTATGATGTAATATTACCTATTGTTTTTTAATCTTGTTCATGTTGTTCATAGCTCATAGGTTTTGTGTTATCTGTGGTATTGATCCTTTATCCATGAGTTTTCCTTTTTATTTGGGATGCTATTTGGCTCATCAATGTAATTTTGGTGATAGGTATGTGCACAACAATATATTCTTTAGTTTTGCTATTGATGCTGACTATGAGAAGCTGTCAAAGAAACATGTAGATGCTAATTCAAAAACATGGAGCACCGGAACTTTGCAAAGTTCTTCTAATAAAGCTCCCATTCCTCTTCATGGACAAAGTCAGGTTTCCAATGGGGGGAAAGATGATGGTTCAAGAGAAGATCTTAATGGTGAAGAAATCACTCAAGATGTTTCTCCTGAATCTCAGCTGGCTGAGAATGAGCAAGCCACATATGCTTCTGCAAACAATGATTTGAAGGGAACAAAGGCTTACCAAGAAGCTGATGTCCCTGGACTTTATAATCTTGCTATGGCTATAATTGACTATAGGGGTCATAGAGTGGTAGCTCAGGTGTGTAGTGAAAGCTCATATTCACCTATTCCCAACATTCTGTTTTCTCATGAAAGTGTGGTCAGTAATAGGATTTGAGTTTATAAAATCAATCCATCACTAGTGATAGTTTTCCTAAGAAGCACAGCTATGGCTATTTGGTGTTTTTACCCTTCCTTTTTCTTTTTGGAAATTTTGTTTTGAAAATATTTTGAAATGCAACTTAATGGATTATAACTTGTCAAAAGAATTTCAAAATGGTGAGATAGGGAATTAGAATATGTTGTGTGTCAAAAGGCTGTTAAACACGACAAGTCGTTTCTATTGTTATTTGTTGGTGTTGAAGTCCCATATTGACTATTGGTATGGCTAAATAAGAGCTTATAAAGGCTAAAACAATCTTCATCTTATGAGCTAGCTTTTGGGGTTGAGGTAGACTTAAAGCCCAAGTTCAACAGATAGTTTATAAGATGACCATATATTTTATAATATTTTTATTTTCTCTATTATTATATGAACTGATTATTTTATGTTCATTTAGATATCTTTTTTAAAGTGCCCCTTTTATATTGTATCAATGTTGGTACCAGCAAAGGATAAATGTTTACGATGTCCCAATTTGGTCGCTATTAATTATAGATTCATTATGAAGCATTGAAGCTTATTGAAATATTTCACCTCACTTATGTCAAATTTTATATTTAATTTCTTTTAATTTGAAACCCCATGAATTCTTTTTCTCAAATTAAATTGTTTAAATTTCAAATTATATATTATGCTGCAGAGTGTTTTGCCAGGCATTCTTCAAGGGGACAAGTCAGACTCTCTCTTGTATGGCTCTGTTGACAATGGAAAGAAAATTTGCTGGAATGAAGATTTTCATTCTAAGGTAAGGAAAGGTGCTGAAGTTTAGTTTAATTTTACTGAATGCTTACTGCGGATGATTGTTAATTGTAAGACAATTTGTTTGTTGGGCTTTTTAGGTAAAGAAATGTTTTAAATTGCATTATATACATAAATTGTAACTATTGCTTTGTTTATCCTTTTGAATTGTTTTATCTTATTGGGTTTTTATGTTATTAGGTGTCAGAGGCTGCCAAACGCCTTCATTTGAAGGAACATTTAGTCCTTGATGGATCTGGTAATGTGTTCAAATTAGCTGCGCCAGTGGAATGCAAGGGCATTGTTGGTGGTGATGACCGGTAGTTATTTTTGAGTTTGTCATTTTTATAGTCTGTGTGCTTTGTTGGTGACCTCTCTGCAGATTTCCTAATAAGAAAGGGGCAATATTTCTTTAACATTACTAATATTTACTAATATAGTAATATGTTTGATTCATTTTATTTCCATTCTGGCTGTTTGTTGTATGTTATTGAACTCTAGTAGATTTAAAGTTAGCTAAAGATATCTTTTGAAATGTTCCTAGTTTTGATCATTACAAATAGCAATTTTTTCTTTTTAATCTGTCTGTTTTGCTACTGCTATGCACTGATGCTTTACACTTTTTTGTAACCAAATCAGGCATTATCTTCTTGATTTATTGAGGGTGACTCCTCGTGATGCCAATTATACTGGACCTGGTTCTCGATTTTGTATCTTGAGACCAGAATTAATTACGGCCTTTTGTCAAGTAAGTACTCCATTTTGATGTTAAAATAATTGAAAATTTCTTCATGTATTCAGTTTTACGCAGCTGGCTCTTTGTCGAAACAGGCTCAAGCATCGGAAACTTTGAAATCTCAGGAGACAAATTCCCAAGGGGCAGACAACATTGCCACTGGTTCCCAAAATGCTGCTGATGCTGACAAACAGGTAAATGTTAGAGCAGTGCAACATGTGCATGTGCTTGGCTAATTTATGTTTTTCTGAATCAATTTTCTTAATCCAGTGCTTTTTGCATACTGAAAAAATATTGACTTTGCTTTTCTATGTAAGTCTGGTATAAACGTTTTAATGGATCTTCCATGGATTTGGATTATGACTTGTACTATCATCTTCAATTCTATTCTGAGAAGAAACTTCCTGTTTGAACTTCATCTAGTACTACAGTCACTTCATTGCTCAAGCTTTTGTTTGAATGTTACTGTATGATGTCATACACTGTTTTTCTAGGTTGTGTGAACTTAGTGTGTCCAGTTGACCAACCAAATGGACTTATTTCTAACATAAAGGATTCTTGCTGGAATGAAAAAGCAAAGGCTTCTGAGAATTCTTGTCTGCAATCCTTTTGATTATTTATTATGCTTGATTAGTTGTCTGGTTGAACAACTAGAAACAATGCTGGTATAAGTATTTTGCTTCCTGTATTTGACTGATTACTAGTTTAAGGCCAGTGGCTGTGTCCTTTATTTGCTTTCTGCAGGATTCAACACAGGAAAAAAAAACTGAGAATGTCAAAGAACTGGTTTCTGCAGCTGCTGAAGTCTCTGATCATAGTGAGGATATTGTTTTTAATCCTAATGTCTTCACTGAATTCAAACTTGCTGGGAGTTCAGAGGTTTTTTTTAATCTTCTTTTGCCTTACTTCTAACTACGAACCTTTCCTTTCTCTCTTCATCTATGTAACATTGTGTACGTGCATTTATTTCCTTGTGGCATGTATGTGTTTACATTGCTTTTTTTTGTCATATTTACCAGGAAATAGCCTCTTAACATTGTGTATGTGCATTTATTTCCCTGTGGCGTGTATGTGTTCATTTTCTGCTTGAAAACATCATGTTGCCTCTCAGCACTCACAATCTTCTTACGTTGCTGTTTTTTTATCATATTCACCAGGAAATAGCAGCTGATGAAGATAATGTTAGAAAAGTTAGTCAATATCTTGTTGATGTTGTACTTCCGAAGTTTATACAAGATCTATGTACACTTGAAGTTTCACCTATGGATGGCCAGACATTAACTGAAGCACTCCATGCTCATGGAATTAATGTTCGCTATATTGGCAAAGTAAGCACTGTGTATTTTGGTCAATGCTGCTGTAGTTATTTCTTTTAGGAGCTGGTCAAGTGAATGATGTGCCATTTTATGTTGTGGTTTGCTTATATATTTGTCTTTCAATGATTCTTGTATTGTAATGCTCACATTTCTATGAAGGTGGCTGGAGGGACTAAACATCTACCTCATCTGTGGGATCTTTGTAATAATGAGATTGTTGTCAGATCTGCTAAGCATATTATCAAGGTGATAAAATCTATCCTATGTAAGGAATTTCATCACCCCTGCCCATCCCCTTTCCAAACTATTTAGTTTCTAAAATCTTAAAATGATCTTTAATCTAGTGATTCATGCTGGAAGATTAGCTGTCTGATCCCTTCAAATGTAGGAGGGGAGGTATCCAATGTATCCACATTTATGTCCAGAGATGCATTAGTATATTAGCAGTCAGAGATGCATGAATCTTGATTTAATTCATGCAATTTGATCTGATTCAGCAAGCTTTTTGATACAATTACAGTATGAATGATTTTGGGGCACAAATGCACCTGAATCATGCCAGAATTGCATGTCACATGTGATGCAGATGGTAGTGCAAGCTGGGTTTTTTCCCTTCTTCTTGGCTTGGATCTTGGCACCAATTTTTATAATGCATTTAAAAGTAGTAAACTTTTATTACATTGAAGATACAAAAGTGTAATAAATAAATAATTTCTCAATAAAAGTTTACTACTTTTTTGGCTGCTTAAACATAGCCCTATTAAGGGGTGAGGTTAACAAAAATGTTTTTTATAAAACTTATTTCCTGGCTTTTCTTTTAGCAAGCTTTTTTCTTGTGAAAATTGAAGAAAAGGGTCAAAACTTTATTATGCTATTAAATAAGCTGAACCCTAGAAAAAATATATTTTTAAAAAGATTTTCTTTTTGGCAAGTTTTAGACATAGTGCAAGGAAAATACCTTAGCTTTTGGTTTGTTATGAAATCCAAACTTTTTGCCACGGTCTGCTATGTCTGGGAATAGTGATGTATTGGGTTTACTTTATGGTTTTAGGAGGGATGAATATGGTGCAGTAACTTCCACAGTCCTTAAAATTAGATTTGTCTTTTTGACTATTTTGACTTGAATCTTGATCTGTTGAGATTACAATTTATTAGCTGTATGATGGGTTATTTCATTTAAAAATGCTAACATCTAGATGTTTGTAGTATCCTATTATGTGAAAAATATATCTTATGCTTTTTAATTATTGGTCATGAATCTTACAATTCATTATTTGGAAATAGCCTTTTGTGATATCAATCTTGATTTGATAACCTGGTTTATAACTTGTGACTTTTGATATTTTAGTTTTCTCATCCTTGGTAGAAGCTCCAAACTATTATGCCAAAATGTCTTTTTTGGGATCAGGAGATGTTAGTAATTTTTTACTTGATGTCAAATTTATCTAGTTCTATATTGTATCTTTTGCCCTGACTGACTTTTCACATCTGTCCATATTTTAACTGATAAGTTATTATTTTGCTTAGTTGGCATAAGATATTACTCATAAGAAACATGATATACCTTGATGTTGACATGATGGATCGTTCAGAGTATACATCATAATCTGAAAACAACTTTCTTCTTCATTCACTTGCACCGAAAACACATGATATTTAAGATCGTGTATCTGATATTCAATGGCTTTCTTTTTTCCCCCTAATCATGTACCATTTGCAGGAGTTACTGAGAGAGACAGAGGATCATGATCTTGCACCGGCAGTATCTCATTTCTTGAACTGTCTATTTGGAAGTTGTCAAGCTCCTGGTGGAAAAGTAACTGCTAATAGCACACAGTCCAAAACTCCTAAAAAGGCATGACCTTTATGTTTGACTTTTGAGATAACTGAAACTTATATTCCCTAATTTGGTAGTTCTTTTGTGTTAGGATCCCTTCAATCAATCTGTGAACTTTACCTTTGCTCTTTAGGCTGCACAATCCACTTTGTTTTCCTGTCTAATTTGTACGCTTTTAAGTTTCAGTTAATTAGTCAGTAATCAAGGGTCTATAACTTACAGGAACATGCAAGGCATCAGTCCCCAGGAAAACATTCCAAAGGGCAAGCACGATGGAAAGGGAGAGCATCTTTGCGAAAGATGCAACCTTCGTATATGAGTATCAGCTCAGAAGCACTTTGGTCAGACATTCAAGAATTTGCAATGGTTAAATATAAGGTATCAGCTCTTGCCTATCCTGAAGATATAATATTAACTGGGACATTAACTGATAAATTATTGTTTTGCTATCCGTTTAAAATAGAAGGTATGCATATTTTGCTACTTTAACTGCTTTGATTTGAATGAGGGCTAGAGTTGGTGCAACAATAAGACTACTGCATTGCGACCTAGAGGTCACAATGTTCAAATCCTGACAAGTGAAAACAATCTTTGTTTGCATTTACAGTTTACCCTACTCAGATCCCACAAGGGCAGTGTTATGTGTTATTTAAAGTGCCAAATTATTTGATTTTCTACATTTTACATGTCATTTCTTTTGTCAGAAAGAATTCTTTTTACTTAACTTTTTTAATCAACAGTGGTCTTCGCTTTAGCCACCCCAAAGTTTTAAATTGTGGTTGAAGTTACAGAGTTCCAAATCCTGAACAAAAAATTTCTGGTAAATATGATTGATGTGGCTGCAATTGCGGATGCTGAAACCTCCAAAATCTTAATATTACAACTACAATATTGATTAGCAATACGTCCATAATTTAAAACCATGGCCACCCTAATTAAAGATTTAGCTCTGTCCTTTGCAATAGGTGGTGTGAGACCCCTTATTCTGACCCTATTATTTTATCAAATATATATACATATATACATAAAAAAATATACTTAAATGAACAAGCAATCATATTAGAAATGTAACCATGTCATAACTTTGTGCACAAACCAAGAGTCGCACATATATCATAATACCTGTAATCACATTATTAATCATAGCATATCCAAAATAGGGGTATTTAAAATTTCTAGAAATAAAGTTATGATCGTGGCAGAAAGTAAATAATTATCCAAAGTACAAAGTTCTGCAAAACATAGTAGTCAATCCGGGATAACAATGTGAAGGAATCGACCCAAAAAACTATGTAGCAGCATAGCGGATAGCGGATGATTGCTATTCTGAAGACAATCAAAATAGTGAAGGAAAATATATCAAAGAGTGGTCAGTCACATAGTTGTTAATCTCGGGTAGGGGCGCAAAGCAAACATTCTTCAAAATGCTATAGCTGGATAACCGCTATTTTAAAGTTTTTTATATGGATATAAAATATATATGCAAATAATTATGTATATAATGCTAAAAAGTTATGCATAAATAACATTAATAATTATCAACAAAAGACAGAAGAAAGAAAGTGGATTTTTCGAGAGAACATAGCAAAGGCAGGACTGTAGAATCATAGAATAGAGGAAGTGAATTTTTCCAGAGAAGTCATCAAAGATGAGTGACTGCTGGATTGGAGATTGTTGCAAAGTAGAACAAAGACAGAGATGAGAGGAGGGAGCATCGAACAAACAAGGGGAGAAGAAAAAAGTGGAGAAAAGGATGGGTTTCATCATGTCTCCAGCTACAGAGCTGAACAACAATCAAGGGGTGTCGAAGAGAGAAAGGAAGAAGAATAATGTGGGGAAAAGTGAGGTTAGATTTGAAAGCTGAAAAGACTATTTTACCATTAAAGCAACCTCAAGACTATGTTATCATAAGGTCAAAAAGGAAAAATCCTTTTGTTTTTAAAAGATTAGGCCTTTTTTACCCTTAAAAACCCTAAAATTTCTTTGATTTGAGGGTAGAAAAGGAAAGTTGGTATCTTTCCCTATGGTGGCACTATTGCACCGAGAAAGGCTGCATAGACAGCCATGATGACTGCAATAGCAAAAGCTATATGGTGGCCGAAGGCCGTTCCGCTGCGCTCTGCTGCTATTGTGCGCTATTGGATACTATGGTCAGTTGGAAAAAGCTGTGACACAGATGGCTTGCTGGAAAATGTCTAAATCTCATTAGAAATAGCTTGAGTTTCACCGGAGATGAAGAAGACCACCAAAAAATGTCTCTGGTCAGGACAAAAATAAGTTGGGTTCGCTGGAGATGAAGAAGATCGGAATGTGGCTAGAAATGGTGACTTACATCAAAAAGTGACATTGAAGATGGAGGATGAAGCAAGAGAACGGGAGATGGAGGTAGGGTTCCATCTCAACTTATGAAGACAGAAGAGAAGCACAGAGCATCACACTTGATTTGTGCACGAGATTATGATGTGGTTACTCTTCTAATATGATTGTTTGTTCATTAAGTATATTTTATTATGTGTGTGTGTGTGTATATATATTTGATAATATAACGGTTAGAATTGGGGATCTCACAGGTAGGAGCCTCGTGTAACAGTTTTTAGTTGAATGAGAGGTGTGATTATTTGGTAGGATCACATATATCAATAGTTCACACTATAGTGGTGCAAAGTGGCCATGGCCTGCTACAAAGTTTAAATAGTGGTGTGCTTCTGAATAACTGTTATAGCAGGCAATTGTGGCCAAAATAGTGGTTGTAGCTGTCTAGAGTAATGCTTTTCAGAGGAAAAAATCTTTGCCTCAAAACAACAACATTTTGTTTTGGGGGAGGTTTAGGGGCAAAGATGAGATTTTGTTCTCCCATTTCAAAATTTAGAAATCCCTAATTTAATTTATTTTTTCATGCTTCTGTCTGCTGTGCTATACTTGCCTGACAAACTGCCACCTGTCAAATTCTATATTTTTCCTCCAATATCCATCCATATCTCTTTTTTGGCACCAACACCCACTCTTCTCATGCAGTATTTGTGATAATGCCTACCATTCTCTTATCTTGTTTTTGAACTCCAAATCACAGCTGTTCTGAACACTAAACCCTCAAACTCCTCTGCTCTTTTCTATGTGCAACACACACCCTCACTTTTTATTGAATGTAATATGGATGTTGTAGAATATTGTTTGTGTCGTTGACTTTTGTTATTTACTTGTATGTTTTGCTCAAATCTTATATTTGGGAAGCTGTGTAGCCACTGGCCAAGCTCATATATTTGGGAAATTCATGGGGCTAGATTGAGGTCTCTAATCTCACTATTCACAATTTGAACCGAAGAGGTAGATTTGGTAGAATGATAACATGATAGTTGGGATTGACAATGGTAGTCAAAAACTATTCAAATCTCGTGGAGGCAATGCCTGCAATGTCATGGTGGTAGAAGAAACCAATGAAGCATGATTTTAGAATAAAGCGCATACAACTGAGGACTGTCAAAAGGACACAACAGCTGTAAATTTATCTGAAACATGGCAGTAAAATGCAAGGTGGAGGCTATGATGGAGGAGGAGGTAGCGGGAATGAACGACATGACATAACCAAAAGAGGGCTAAGCTCACAAGAATGAACAATGAACAATGCGTAGAAGGAAGAGAAAATGCCAAAAGATGTGGATAGACTTTATTTGAAGAAAAAATTGTGAAAATAAAGTTGAACTCAGAATTTTAGGGAGTTGAACAGTGAAATAGTTTTGGGAACAGCTTATGAAAGATGGTATCATGGTGTACCATCTTGAAATTGTGGGTTTCAATATGTAGTGGAAGAAAAGGAGAGGAGAATGAAACACTGAATTATATTAGCTGAGGTATATCACAATGTATTGAATGTTCATAAAATCTAAAGCATTTACCCTTAGTTTAAACTAATCATAATCCTAATTAATTAGGGACACAAATTGTGATAAGATGAAGAAATATGGTACCTAATCCTAAGAGATAATGAGGAAACTGAACTTAGAGGATAATCTTAGAAATAAGAAAATTTCCTTAATTCTAACAATAACTATGGTTGGGATACACTACTGCACTGTACCAGTTGCTCTAATTGTATGAATGTAAAATCTGAAAATGCACCATTGTAGCCTACTGTTACAATTAGTTTCTGTTGCAACCACTCATATACACGTACTAAAACCTGTAAATGGGTTGATTCAGTTTTTCAATTCAGAGTCTACTGCTTATTCTCTCGCTGTGATTCTCTTTCTCCCCTTTCAGTTTCTCATCTCATACTATCTTTTATCTCAAAGCAGTTCTTTTGCTCACTAGATCATTTTTTGTTTATGTTCAAATACAAGTAATCTAAACAACAATGCCTTTCTCATTTATGAAATTGGATGTCCATATTTATTTTGTTTCTTTGTTTCATCTGTAAATCTTGCCATACATTTGAACTTCAAATTAATTTGTTGCAGTTTGAGTTGCCAGAGGATGCAAGGTCACGTGTTAAGAAAATTTCTGTTATACGTAATCTCTGTCTGAAGGTAAGCACAAGATCATTTACAGTTTAGTCAATTCATATTTGAATGTTTATGGTGTAAATAATTTTACTGATTTTTTTGTGGCCTGACTTTTCTAATCATTTAATAGTTACAGTAGCATGAAATGCTCTTCAAAAGTACTAACTTGATGATCTTTTATATAATGTATATTATTGGTGCATATCTTGTGTAGCTCTCTTTGTAATTAGCCTTCTGATGTAAAAGTTAGTTTTCGTTCAACAGAACTGCTTTGGTGACTGAGTGTGAGGAAAGAAAACACTGAATTATACCATGTTCAGAAATATGTAGAAACAGGATGAAATATTTTTTAGTTGATGAAAGAAAGTGCTCATGTCTATTTTTTTTTAGTGGATATATCCATGTGTATTGAGAAAAAGCATCCACAAAGGTTTAAAATAAAGAAAGCCACAAAATGATGCTGCTGGGGAATGTCCCCGTAATCTTTGAACACCAGCTCAAGTGGCTGTGTATAACAAGCATCTGGGGAATGAGCAGACAGGTGATGAGCCTTTCAACAAGCTGAACAGAAACTAATCTCATTTTTATCAGGAACTAAATCATTACATTGTTGTTGTATTTGTTTTACAACATCAGAGTGTGAATGACCTAATCTACAGGTCAAATAGTGTAGGTGGGGGAAGTGGGAGTGGTATTACAGTGTAACTGTACATTTACTTACAATAGAAGGAACATTTGTAGTGCACATAGCAGTATTAGGCAGATTATTGTGAGCTGAACAACTACTGAGTGCTTTCTGTGGAAGTCAAACATCATCAAAATAATAGAGTTCATCAGCCCCAACTGAACCTGAAGGAATGTTTCAGAGGAAGTCTGAGATTTAAACAAACAATAAGTTGGGTGATGAAACTGAAGATAAACTGAATTATCTTTGGCAAATCTACTAATATGAATAAGATTTTAAGTTATAGAGGGTACAAGTAGGTTTTAAGAACAAGATTGGGCAAAAAAAAAAATGGAAGTGATTCCATAGTCAATTCTGGATAGCGGCTAATCCCAGAAACGCTATAGCGGATAATGGGATGACCACCATTCTAAAGACAATTAAAACAGAGAAGGAAAAATAGGTTAAATAGCGGTCAGTCTTAGTCATCATAGAAAGCTCTAATGCAAATATGATCTCACCGGATCGGAAAGTGTCTTTATCTTGTTGGAAATAGCTTGGGTTTCACCAGAGATGAACAAAATCGGAAAGCTCATGTTAGAAATAAGTTGGATTTTGCCGGAGATGAAGAAAATGATAAGAACTTAGCCAGAAATGGTGACTTGCACCAAAAAGTGATGCTGAGATGGAGGATGAAGCAAGAGAACAAGAGATGGAGGTAGGGTTCGATCTTGACTTGTGAAGAAAGAGAAGCATTCCAACTTTCAAATAGGAAGGGCAAACTTGCCCTTTTGCCCCTATTTGACATAGCAGCCACAATTTTTCCCTTTCATGGCTGCGAATTGTAGCGTGACAGCTGCTATACTGAACCACGACGTGACGGCCCCATAATTGTGATACGGAGCTGCTCTGATTTTCTCCTATGCATAGCACTACTAATTGCAACTACAAACGGATCATACTTCTCAAGGAGTCCTTCAAGAATTACATCAAGTCAATCACAGCAGGAACAGACTCATCAATCAAAACCAATGCATCAACTATGAACTTGATTCAAGAAAGAAATTCAGTCATGGAGCTTGTCCATTTCTTACTTGTGCGAAATTCAGAATGTAATTGGTCTGACTTGGCACTAGAGTGTGCATGAAAGTTGTGAATTTGCTCCCAAATCTGCCATTAGTGAACACAACCAATCAACTGAGAAGAAGAGAAGTAGAAATTGAAGACAAAAGCCATTTAGCAAGTAGCAAATCTTTTTGCTCCCAATCAGAATACGGTGGATTGACCTTGTTCTCATCACAATCAATTTCAATGAGAAATTTGGAAGGAATCTTTGGAGTAACTACAAAATGATGCAATCGATGACCACAACTATTAGTGTAGAGCTTGTATAGCTCTCTTTGTAATAATTAGCCTTCTTATGTAAAAATTAGTTTTCAGTTGTTAGCACTATCTTTTCCTTATGTTGCAAAACTAGAATTGTTTTTTCTAAATTTTCAATACCTCAGCTAAGTTAATCTTTCTGACTTTGCTCATGTTATTCCATGTATGTTTGCACTTGCTGGGAACAAATGTTTTTTAAAACTTCTTGTTTGATCTTGTGAATACTTATGAATAGTTGTTGGAACTCTATTGAATAATGCTTTTACTATTTTTCCGTTAACCTCTTCAAATTTATTGCTTTTAAAACTTGTGTGAATGGGTTTCACCATACTTATACTGTACTTGGTTTTCACTTTTCAGGTTGGTATAACCATTGCAGCTCGTAAATATGATCTTAGTTCTGCAACACCATTCCAAACATCAGATGTCTTGGATCTCCGTCCAGTGGTCAAGCATTCAGTTCCTGCCTGTTCAGAAGCCAAGGAACTTGTGGAAACTGGAAAACTTCAATTGGCTGAGGTTCTTACCATGCTTTATATATATATATATATATATATATATATATATATATATATATATATATATATATTTTACTATAAAATGAAATAATGAATGCAATTTTAACCACAAGGCATCTGCTAGTAGTTAGTGTTAGTGGTTTGGGTGGTTAGGTTGTTGTAATAAACAATAAAAGGGGATTGAATTTCAATACAGCACGTTTATTTTCTGGTTGTAAACTATGTAGCTATTGGAATCTTGGTATTCTTTTTGGGAGTTACAAAATGTGTTTTTTATTTTTTTTTGGGTGAAGTAGTGTAAGGTTTAAGAAATCCAAACATTTTGATACTAGTGGGTTATCTTCCTGAAGTTGCAAGACTTTTAAATGCGTTCAGTAGTGTGATATAAATTTATAAATTGTGGAGACTTTTTTTTTTTTTTTTTTGGGTTTATGCATTTATTTATTGGTTTTCCTATCAGAATGTGTTAATGTGTAATTTTTGTTTGATACAGGGCATGCTCAGTGAAGCCTACACTTTATTTTCTGAGGCATTCTCAATTCTACAACAGGCATAAATTTCTCTATTGTTTTATTGTTCTTGGATGCGTTTCTTGTGCATAAAATAATTGTTTTTAAATGGGCTGCAGGTTACTGGTCCCATGCATCGAGAGGTTGCTAATTGCTGTCGGTATGTCAATATTTGTTTCTACCATGTTGGCATGATCCTAAAAGTTTTTCTACTTCAATCATAGTTTAATCATGATCTGGAATTATGCATGATGGCTGTTTTAGATCCGGGATAATGGATGTATTTTGTTATAAGTTATAACCAATTTATATTGAATTTATTTCTCATTATTTTCATTTGCCAATGCCCTTTATAATTGAAATTTTATATCCAATTCTAGTGTACTTTTGTTATAAAATCCTGCTTATCAAATTATAGGTGATATATTTGTGTGTTGTATATTTACTCTCAATTTAAATTATTGAATTTCAGGTATCTTGCCATGGTTTTGTATCATGCTGGAGACATGGCTGGGGCTATTATGCAACAACATAAGGAGCTAATTATAAATGAACGTTGTCTTGGTCTAGATCATCCTGACACTGCTCACAGGTATTCCCCATTCCATTGATCTTACTTGGTCTTTGGAGTTATATATTCTATGTTTTTTTCCCTGTATGCATATCATTGTATTTGTTGTATATATCCCTAGCCAAATTGGAATGTTACAATGAGCAAAAAAGTAAAAATTGAGATTTCAAGTTACTGATAATTTGAAATGTGTGGTTTTGAAAACTGGACTGACTTTTGTTACTCTATAACTTGGAAGTTCAAATGCCAGTGTCAACTGGTTTTTTGAAAGATTCAAACTGGTCATTATTGAACTTTTTTTTTTTTTTAATGTTTTGAGCCTATTTTAACTTCATTTTGCCATTTTTTTATTAGTTCATCCTTTATCAATGAATGTTGTTAACTTTGTTTTTACTCTTTTTTCTTAAATTGTTGGTTGCTTTATTATTTTGTGCTTTGTTTTGCGTACTTTTATTAGGTTTTGGCTTATTGTATGTGTCATTAAGCAAGTTGATTTGTTAAATATATATTTCAGATTTTGTCAATGATTTACTTATATAATTACTTAGCACACATAAACACACGCTCATTTGTTTTTAGGGGCATGTTAACAAGCTACACCTTTGCATGTATTTTAAGAAAATCAAAGTTATAACTTATTAACATACTCCCATAAAAAGGTGGGTGTATATTAGCATATCCCTATTATTATTATTATTATTATTAGATATTGATATTTATGCAGTGTAAAAATCAAATTCTACCCTTGTTGGACATCAAAATCTTGAACCCCTCTCCTAATCAGCTCAAGAACTGGTCTTTTTAAGACATTGGGTGTATGATGTAAGACCGCATGATTTAGAACATTTTGTGATCGTTAGTATTATTGTTGCAGTTATGGAAATATGGCTCTGTTCTACCATGGACTTAACCAGACAGAACTTGCTCTTCGTCATATGTCCCGTGCTTTGCTATTATTAAGTCTTTCATCAGGGCCAGATCATCCTGATGTTGCAGCAACTTTTATCAATGTTGCAATGATGTATCAGGATATAGGAAAAATGAACACAGCTCTTCGTTATCTGCAAGAAGCATTAAAGAAGAATGAAAGGCTTCTTGGGGAGGAACACATTCAAACTGCTGTTTGTTATCATGCTCTTGCAATTGCATTTAATTGTATGGGTGCTTTCAAGCTCTCTCACCAGGTATGTATGGTGGTAAAGTTGGTTTCTGGTAGTGACATTAGGGTGGTTGACTGATTTTGGCTTCTGGTTTGATAGCATGAGAAGAAAACATATGATATACTTGTCAAACAACTTGGTGAAGATGATTCAAGGACAAGGGATTCACAGAACTGGATGAACACATTTAAGATGCGTGAGCTACAGGTATCTGTGCAGTTCCTTCTTTACTCGTGGAACACCATTCTGATCTGGCATCAATTTACTGGTAGCAGTTCAAATGTATTTCTCAAGAAAGACTTGGAGAATTTAAGAGACTATTACAGTAATTAGATGAATTAGGAAATAACCACCCAGCAAATTAGATTACAAACACCAGAGAAAGTGGAGTGGTTTGTGTGTGTGTGTGCATGAGAGGGAGGGAGGGAGGAGAGAGACCGTAGATAACGGCGATTAAAATTTTTGAGATCAGCAATGGTTGATGACAGGAGGCACAATACATTCAGAGGAAGAAGAGGGGCTCTAGGTTAGGTTGGTTGTGTTGTGGGAATGCCTTGCTAAATTTTGTGGGAGTCTAGCATTTGCAGGCAGTTTGTATTACCTAGTAATATAGTCTCCGTTTCCATAGTAGCAAATGAAGGTGTTTGGATTTTGGACGCTTTTTCGTTTTGTTTTTATTTATTTCTTTGAATTTTAAATGACATTGAAAGTAAAATCTTCTTTCATTGTAGTCTTGTATGACTTAACATTTCACAACTTGTTTTGGGCTTTTGGCAGATGAATGCCCAAAAGCAAAAGGGTCAAGCTCTGAATGCAGCTTCAGCTCAGAAAGCCTTTGATATCTTGAAGGTACCTTATACTCCTTTGATTTAGCATGCAATATTACCAGATAGTATCTATAGCTAATGATATTGATCATAATGAAATGACTTGTAAAAAGGGGGATACGTTGATTTTTTGGTCAAGACTTCTCTACTATTTCACTGGTCCCCTTTTTCTGTAACACCCCAGATAAAAAAAAAATAGGACAATTGAAGCTTCCTAACGTACTTATTATGATTGCATCTTTTTTTCAACGTTAGTTTACTGAAGAATATCTAATTCTAGACCTTTTTGTCATTTCTCTGGTAGTATAACTCCTACTGACAAAGGATATTATAAAATGACAGGCACATCCTGATTTGATACAAGCATTCCAAGCTGCTGCAGCTGCTGGTGGACCTGGAAGCTCAGGAACATCTGCAAACAAATCCCTCAATGCTGCAATGATTGGTGAGGCTCTCCCCAGAGGAAGGGGAATCGATGAAAGGGCTGCACGTGCAGCTGCTGAAGTCAGGAAGAAGGCTGCAGCAAGGGGCTTGTTAGTACGTCCCCACGGTGTCCCGGTCCAAGCCTTGCCACCCCTTAGCCAACTTCTGAATATTATAAATTCAAATGTGACTCCAGATGCTGTAGATAATGGGAATGCAGATGGAGCAAAGGAACCAAATGGCACTCCTTCAAGTGATACAAATGATGCCAAAAAAGGACAATCAGAGCCTGCACAAGAACAATCAGAGCCTGCACAAGAACAGGCTCCAGTGGGATTAGGCAAGGGGTTGTCATCATTGGACTCTAAGAAACAAAAATCAAAACCAAAGGCTGGGGCTTGAAATTTTGAACTTGTAAGCTCTGGTAATTGGCAATGGTAGATTTATTTGAGATAAAAAATTCTTTGAGATGGTTGGATTTTCCAGGTACTTTACTCAGCTTTTGAAGAGTGTTGTAGCAGTTAGAAGTGATTTTTGGCACTTTCTCCCTCTTTTCCAGCAGGTTTGGTAATTGGTAGATTTAAACATCCAGAGTGAATGCAAGTGACTGTAACACAAGTACATTGTTTTTTTTCATCTGGCCAATTACTGATAATCTTTCAGTAAATTATATGTTTGGGGATATAGGGTAATAACTAAAATTTTTACATGAACCCTTGTAACGATAACAAGTTTAATTGCCAGTTGAATTGAGGCAAATTCAATGCATAATGTGCTTTATAGAAATTTTCGCTGCAACTTCTGTATGACATTGTGATTAATAAAATGGTGGCAATTCTTTATGCGAATTGCTTGATGCTGAATTTATAAGATTTTCAGAAGGGGGATGGTGCCTAAGTTTTGTAGTTCCACCTGTTACTTGTATTGTTTTTAAGGTTTACTACTTCAAAGGAAAGGAATAATGACAGAACTGCCTAAAGTGGCATTCATTTTGGTCTTGTGGGCATTAAATTACTTAAATATTTCATGAGCGACTTGTATGAGTTTTCTGGGGATAAATAGCACAGCTTTTAGATTACTATATGCACCACGCTTTAATATATAATATATGAACATGTAATTGTTTCGAAGTACTTAATTTGCAAGTAATCTTAAAATGTGGATCCTTGGTATCAACGATTTCTGTGAATACTGATGGCATTCCATATTGGTAATAAGACACTTACGTTTTGGTGTGATTTTCTTGATGACTGTATCTTACTAATGATATATTCCTACTTAAAAGTGATATAGCATAGGGTAATTGTTCAATTAATTGGAGGGTTAAGTATGAGTTTGGTTCTGCTTTAGAAAAGTTTAAAAGCGTGTAATTTTAGACGCTTTTGAGAGTAGTTTATGCATTAGGAACTCGCATAATTGTCTCTTCTAAGCGAAATCAAAAACAGCATTCTAATGAGTCGCAGCCGTACATGTCAATAGTTCAAGCATGGTGTTGTTAGAAACGGTGTAAACGAAAGGGCACATGGACATGTTACTTGACAATGGGTCTTCTGCAATTGCTTTTGTAGTTCTGACTCTTATGTAGCATTTGTTGATGGTTATTGGTTTTTGCTACCCATCTACTCAAGATAAATAATTAAATTTTGAGAGGCAAACACAAAATCACAATGTACTGTTTTTTTCTTAAATTTTTTAGTTTGATGACATCCTGCTTGGTGTATTTAGGAATTTCTTTGTTCAACTGTTGCATTCTCAACTCTTTTCATCAAAATTTTAAATTAATCAACATTCACCAAAAAATAAAATTAATCTAAAATTAATTTAAAATTAAAATAAGTATTAATCAATTCACCATGAGGATTTTGAGACTATAATTATATTATCTTCTTTAATAATTTTAATAGATTTTGATTTTTTTTTAGTATTTAATATTAAAATTTTGAATTTTTATGCTTATAATGTTTTATTTGTGATTAAAATATTATTTTTCATCTTGTGTCCTATTTTTATTTTTTTTAAATATGCTATGTTGTTGTATCCATGTCATGTGTTTGCATCCTATATTATATATGTGCTTATTAACTACTAGTATATTATTTCTAAAAGTTTCTGGGAGGATAGATTTCAAAATTTTAATGTTTGAAATGTTTAGAGTAACTAATAAATCACCTATTATCAAACCTTTATATATTAAACCTCTATATAATTTAAATGTGTTAATTCTTAAATAAGAAATATTTTAAATTTATTTTTAAAATGAGGCACTTCTCACTTTTATAATTTATTAAATTTAAAAATATTCATATAATATATTTTAAATTATTTATTTTAAAATTTTATTTTAATTTGATAATACTTAAAAAGTTCACAAATAAACTAGTTTAATGTAAAAGCTGAACATGAGATTATTAAGGAAGTTTCTAAATATATTTAAATTTCATTGGCTCTTACTATTTGAGTTATATAAATGACTTTCAACGTTATTTTCATATTATTTTATGCTTATGAAGACATAGGAAAACTGTTTGATTTTTTTCTTTTTTAAACATTAATATTTTACTAAGTATAAATTTAGAGTACAAGGTATACTCTAACACGTTACAACTCTAAAGAGAATTAATAATATATGTTAAGAGATTATTAATCCAATTCACATATAAATCGATCTTCTTAAAGGTCCTATTGCACAAACGATATTTAATAGAATCAAACATTTTACTAACATTTAACACACTATTATTGAAGAGAATATTATTCCGTTGAAGTCAAATTCTTCATATTACCGCAAACTATACCATTACAACTCCCTTCCATTTCTTTTTTCCACATTGAATTACACACATACTTAGTAATGTCTCATGCAAATTTTTTGGTAAGCATAAACTGACATCAAACTATTCAAGTACCAAGTACTACAGTTTCATGGAGACACCACTATGCAAAAAAAGATGCAATATGTCCTCAGCTTCAGTATCATACAATCCACAAGCTTATGAGCGAATCGTCAATCTATGTTTGGTCAAGTTCTTCCACACCAAAACTGTATTAAGCAATAGACACTAAACGAATACCACTACCTTCCTCTACGCATTGACCTTTCAAATCTTGCATAAGGCCTGCACTAAACCTAGCTCCAAACCACTACCTGCAGTAAAAAATGATGAATGTAGTGATAAGCGGATTGCTCACTATATTCCTTTTTACCATCACACTTCCACAACATGTTATTTACATTTTCTCTCAGTCTCTTACCCTTCATAGTTTCCCACAACTGTTGTTGTAAATTCTCCTCCTATGAAAACAAATGTTTTCTCCAAGGAATTTCTCACACCCATTGACCCATCTCAAATCATCTATTATCCATCACTCGTGTTTCCTTATTAGTCGTTATTGAAAACAGTCATGGGTATAAATTTGTCACTGCAATATTTCTCATACATTAATCCTTCCAAAAACTAAAAGAACAACCATCACCAAGTACTCATGTGACATTATAATCTATCCACTCATTAGCTTGCTTACAGACCCACACATGTCCCTCCACCAATCTGAAATACTTTGAGCTACTTTTAAAGAAATTAACATATCAGCATATGATCCATATCATACCCATAACACATCAAAGCACAACCATTTTGGAGACTTTAAACCTCTCCAAACCCATTTACCTTACAAGCTCCAATTGAACCATTCCACATTTCTCACCCCTAGACCGTCCTCATTCTTTAGCATGCATACTCTTTCTCATCTAATCCAAACTATTTTTAATAAATCCTTTATGCCACTCCAAAGAAACTGACGTTGAATTTTCACCATCTTCTTAATTACACCTAGTGGCATTTTCCAAAAGGATAAATAATATAGTGGGAGACTATTTAAAACAGTATTAAGAAGTGTTACTTTACCTCTAATAGAGATGTATTTGTGTTTCTAAGATGCTAGTTTGCGATTAAACATCTCAATAAGCTTTTGTCAAGCACTTTTTCTTCTTTGTTTATTCCCAACATAGATGGCTAAATACTGAAAGGGCAATGATTCCACCTTGCAATTTAAAAATTGAGATGTTGTGTCTAGAAAATTACTTGTCACATTCACCCCCACAATACAACTCCTATGAAAATTTATTTTAAGCTCGGATATAAGTTCAAATTTTCGTAAAATAGCCTTTATCGTCCACAAATTCTACTTAGTAACTTCACCTATAATCAAATTATCATCTACAAATTGTAACAATGAAATTTTTAGTCCATCACTAACTTTAACCCTGGAAAAAAGACTCTTTGAGATGAAACTTTTCATCAATCTCTCCAAACCTTCTGCTACTAATAAAAATAAAAAAGGCGATAGAGGATCACCTTGTTTGAGGCCTCCAATTGTCACTTCTTCTATTAGGCTCCCATTAACAAAGACTGATAAATGACCACCACAAATATAAGCTTCTATCCATCTTACCCACGTCTCTCTAAAGCCAAACTTTCATAACATATGTAGGATATATTTCCAATCCACTGAATCGTTTTCTTTCTCATAATATACTTCCAACACAAAACATTTTTTTCCCCTTTTCTTAGCATAATCTATCACCTTATTGGCAACAAGCACACTATTTAACATGTTCATTCCTTGATTGTTGCTCATTTATTATGCTTGCTAGCACACTCCACATTCTATTTGCAAGTACCTTTGAAATAATTTTATAAAGACACCTCAATAAAGAAATAGGTCTATACTCACTTACTTTTTAGGGATTCTTCGTCTTTGGAATGAGTGCTACAAAATAAAAGAGCAACCCTTTGAGAATTACGACATTCATATGAAATTCCATAGGCATCTATATTACCTCACCCCTCATCAAGTCTCAAAACAATTTAATAAATATGAAATTGAATCCGTCAGGACTTGGGCTCTTATCTCCTTTACACTCCTTAATCAGACTTGACACTTCCTCTGAGAGGTTCCACTATTTGGTTTTCTCGCCTAGGCGAGAGCAAATCTCGCTCAAGCGAAGATTAGCTCGCTTAAGTAAGAGCGCGCGGGCTTGAGGGCTATTTAAGGGGGGCTTTAGCACCTAGAAACTTCATTCCTTACTAGACAGCTTCTCTCTCTCATTTTCTCTCTGTTTTCTCACTTCTTGTCATTAGAAAAAACCTTCTCGATGCCGAATTCTTTCCTGAACAATTTGAGATTCACCTGTCTTATTAAGATACAAGTGAGTTCTCGGAGCTCAATTTTTGGTCTTTACTCATTTTCCTTCTCTCTCTTTCTCAAGTGACTTATACCATGTCGTTCTGAGTAGATCTGAACCATTCGAACTGTATTTTTACCCAAATGCTTGATCTTTCCCTTCGGGACTCAGTAAGAATTTGATTTGACAAAAACTTATTCCAGGTAAGGGGAACTTATCTGAGCTAGTTTATTCGTATAGTAAATATGGAGTTATTTATGAACTTAATTTTGTTATGTTGAAGTATGGTGATATATGTGCTGAGAATGTTGAAAAGTTTTATTAAAGAGTTGTGAGCTGTTTAATTAATTGGAAATGCTTAATTAATGCTATGAGCTGCTTGATTTTATTGTATAGATGCACAAAGTTGTGTTGCTGAGGTTGTGAAAATATATATGGCTATGATGGTGAAGCTGGCTGAAAATATATGCATTGTTGAATTGTTGAAATTGAACATAGATTTAATTATGCCTTATTATATTGATCTCGTTGTGATGCATCACATTCATTATCATTCTAGAGTTGATTAGAATACTGAGCTATGCTGTGTTTAGATTTAGATATCGAAATGGGTCATTCTCAGACCAGAAAGCAGTTCTTCTGGATTACTTAGGCTGTGAAACTAAATGGAACTCAATCG